TTCCAGGTGTAAGAATACCTCTTTGTTCTTACTGTAATGGAGTCTGGAGTCACATGGGCCAGTCCCTGCATACTTTGCTGAGTTACAAGGCGTATCTGCCTTCTCTCAATGGGTCCATTGTATAGCTGATGGTCCTTAATGGGCCATCAAGCAGGCTAGGCAGTGCTAATCTCAGCTTGTCTGGGATGTTACCCAGAAGCATAGCATAAGTTTGCCATACAGACAGTATAGAGCCAATATTCATAACTTCGACCACAAAACTGATACACACATATAGACAGCATAATCATAACCAGTAAACCATAACCTTGTCTTAGACACCCCATTTGACCCCCTTTATACCAGATTTGGGTGCCACTACAGGACCTTGGTTGCAACAATGATCTATACGGTCCCAGTTTATGTCAATAACGTCACACACCTACTAGCCACAGACTGATAAAGGAGATGGAGCCACTAGCAGGGTCCAGGAAGAGCTCCCTGTTAGGAAGCCCAACACCCGCCCCATTCTGAAGAGCTGGATATGAAGGGAGGAGAATCTCCCCTAAGCCAGACTGGTGGGTGCCCCCTTCATATCTCACATCAGCCACTGGTTAGTCAGATCAGCCTTCAGTACTACGAGTCTGGTCATTTTTTTTTACCCCCATGTAGCTGGGTTATTTTCTGTTCAACAAATCAGGTCATTTCCACCACCAAAGCTCATGGGTCTGTTCCTAGAATCTAGGCCACTTATTAAACAACTCCCAGCAGGTTTGTCAGATGCACAGGGTGGAAAAATGGAGGAGGACAGCATTTCCTGCCCCACTCCAACTTCCAAACCAGACTGTGAAAACCTTCCCATCTCCGGTGTATTTGCTGCCCCTCTCCCTCCTGCAGGAACCCACCAGCAACCCCCTGATAATACCTACCTGGACTGACTCCTCTGCAGCCATTTCTCTCCCCTGTCCCATGGGAGGCTGGGATGAACTGGAGCGAAACATGGACGTCATTCTGCAGCCTGGCAGGATGAGAAGGCAGTTTTGGAGGTTTCAAAACAGACTGTGAAATTAATTAAAGCATGATTCCCCCAGGCTTTTTCCCTGCAGACAGACACCCTAGAGTCTGCCATGCTGAGAAAAGGCTTGATCTCTTTATACAATGTAGACCTGGCCCCTCCTGCCAGGCTAAGCCAAAAGAGACATTTTTATCCTCCCTTCTCCCTCCCCCCATCCCATAACAAAGTCTTTGAACCCAATGCTAGAAAAGAGGAGAACGAAAGGATTCACTGTGGGGGATTCCCTCAGACACTGACCCCACAGCAGCCACACCCCAGCAGGAGGGATATGGAGTCAGGAACTGGATTTTCCTCTGTCTGATACTCATTTTCTCCACAGGAAAGTGACTCTATCCAGGGTGCAGTAATACATCTGTCTGGGCAGATTAGAGATCTGGCAATCTCTCTCAAAACTCTTCTCTCCCACAGCCCCTTTCAGTCTCTCCTATCTCTTTTTCCCTGTCCTCTCTCCCTGTCCGTCTGGTAGGAAAGTCCAATTCCTGGGTAGTTTGCTCCCCCATGGCTGGATTTGCTCCTGCAATTGCTAGTGGGATGAGAAATGAAGGGGGTCTGTTTGTGTAGAGTCATTTTAAGGCCAGACCCCCAGCATTTTCCCTTCCTTTCTTTCAGTTACTTGGAATGTTTGGCTCCGAATTTAGTATTAACAGGGCTCACGGCTGCCCTATGGGGCTAGTACCAATTGGAGAAAGTTATCACCTGGGCAGGGCAGAGAAGAAGCTTTAATTAAGGTCACTTCCCAGGACAGAACCCCCGCAGGGGAAGCAGCAGCTGCTAACCTTGGTCTCCCAGATCACAATGGAGGCTGCAGCGTGTGACCCAGGAAGCTGAACCCCAATATCCTGAGCAGAGAGGGACAGAGCGTTTGAGCAGCTTCCCTCCTCTAGCTCTCTGGGGAGAGCAGCTAATGAGAGCCCCTCCTCACAGGGAGAATTGCTGATCTCATTTGCCTTACTGTCCATCTGGAGTCACTCCTCCTCTTTCCATGCAGTGACTCTTGATTAACCTTCGTCTCAATGAAACCAGATTTCAGAAAGAACGAGTCCAGAATGCTGTGGAAGAGACCATTGTGTGGCAGTGCTAACCCCCTTCCCACCTCCCTTACCCCTCCAGATCGAGAGCAAGGACTGGGGGGCACAAGTTTTCCAAACGGAACCGAAAGTTCCTGACGTTTTCAAAAGAGAAGAAAAGGAAAACCTGTGATTTCACACTAACAGTGTTTGATAAGTGGATAGAAAGTTATCACAGTGACAGGGCATGTGACTGGGGAATGCCGGGCAGTGCTTGGAGCCAGGACTCTGGCACAAGTTGATCAGAAAGAAGAATCATGGTTAGTAGCAGTTGCCAGAGCCCACAGCCAGGGGCCCCAGACACCCCCCAGCCAGGGTCCCACCAGATATTCCCTGGGATGCAGCCCCCAGAGTCCCTGGCAGGAGACCCCAGATACCCCTCAAAGCCCCACCAGTCAGGGAATCCCCAACACACCATGACTGCCAGGTTGGGAATCCCAAAGGGTTCCCCCCACCAAGAGCCCCTAGAAGCCAGGAACCCCCACAAGGGAACCCCTCACTGGGAACTCAGTCCCTCACTGCCTGCCTAGGACCCCCCACCCCGCCCTCCAGCAGGATCTGCCATGCTGTTTGTCTGGGATCCCCTCCTCCGCCCAATGGGACCCCTCACTCTGCTTCCCTGGCATTCCGTGACCTAGTGCCAGAGCTCAGCTCCCCCACCCCCCACCAGCTCTGTGCACTGGACATGGCAACGATCGCAGGAGCCAGTGGGGGAAGCCCAGACACAGCCCCTGGCACAGCACCAGGCTCCCTCTAACCCCGTCCCGCCTCCACAAGAGACGCCCACCCCCGCTGTTCTGCAGCCAAGAGGCCCCCAGTGACACCCACCTCCAGGACCCATAGCCTCAGGGCTGGGCACATCAGAACCACCCCCAAACCTCCAGAACCCACCAACTTGATTAGGGTACCCCCTGCCCAGTCACCCAAACACCTCCCCCTACCATAATGCCCCTTCAGCTCCAGCTGCAATCTCCCCACACAGACATCCCTTGCCCCCAGAGCAACAGTGTTACCTCACAGGGTCTGAGAAGTGGATAGAAAGTTATCACCACCCCCTGCTGGCCAGTCACACAGGCAGAGGGAGCCCTGGGGGATGCCTCTTGAACAGGAGAATGGAAGGCCTGGAGGGCAAAAAGGTAAGAAATGTCCATGGCCTGTCACCAGCAAATAATGACGATGGATCCACCCCAGATGTGGCTACATCTTAGCACTGTGGGAATCAACCCCTCATGGAGACCATTTGTCATGCGGTTTGGGATACTTCTGGACCCACGCTGCACTCAGAGCAACCTCCTCATCCCGTGCCAGCTGGAGAAAAGAAAAGGGTCCAGCCAACTCCTCTGTTTCCAGTTGGGGGCCACTGATCCCCAAACAGGGGGAGGCCTCTGGCTTTGATGTGTATTAAATATGTGGCTGGTCTCTTTTATCAGCAAAGATTTTAACAGAGATAAAGGGGGGAAGAAATGATTCTCAAAGGAGAGGGGAAAGATAATCACTGGGCAATTTAATCCCCTGCAACCTCCAGGATGGAGAATGACTCAGGGCAACAGCTTCCCTCCAAGGAAGGAGAAGTTGCTGGGATTGAGAAACATGGGGAACAGCCCCAAACATGAAAGGATTTTTAATTGACATTTGATAATAACCTAGAAACAAAAGAGAAAGGCTGGAAATCTGAGAGATTTTGGATCAATTTTGCAAATAATAGAGAGGAAAGCGGAAAATCAGAGGGATTTTATATCAGTTGTTGATATGAGGTAAAATCTGAGTGTTTCCCATCAATATTTGTTAAATGAATACAGAAGAAATGGGCACCATTTTATATCCATGTTCAAGAATCTGAGAAGAGGTGTAAATCTGAGATTTTCTTTGTATTTTATAATTAGAAAGACAGGCAAAAATCTCAGGGCATATTCAATTAGAAATAGACAACTAGAGAGAAGTGGGGCAAATGTTTAGGGTATTTTACATCAATATTTGAGATTTGCAGAGAAAACGTGTTAGGAACTATGCAATTGAAGGTGAAAAATCAGAATTATGGAGAGACCAGGGGGAAATCAGGAGAGACGAGAGAGGTGATCATTTGAGGGGAAACGGGGGCGGGAGAATCTCCCCGGATTTTATAGCCACGTGTGAGCTGATGAAAGAGAAAAGGGGAAGAATTAGAGAAAATTTGTATCAAGGGTGGGAGGCAAGTGGCACAAACAGGGACAGGATCCAATTAACCACCCCACCCACCAACCACTTCTCCCCCCGGGGATTTCCGGGCTGCACAGAGACAATACAATACCCCTCCCGCGTCCCACTGACCTTCTCTCCCGCCCCCCGCAACTCCGGCTTCTCCCCTCCCCGCAACCCATCGGACCCCAGTCTCTGACCCCGCTGCGGGGCCGGGGACAGATCCTGCTGCAGCTCCACTGGGGCCGAGGCAGCTCCAAGTCTTCTCCCAGGTTCCCCGGGGCGGAGAGTCACTTTCCTGCCCGGCCCCAGCACCCCCCGGGGTCTCTCACTCACTGGGGGGCTCCGGCCCGGGGCTGCCCAGGGGACGGGTCCCAGCTGGAGAAAGCCCCCGCGGCCGGGCATGGAGGAGTTAATGCCGGGCTCCCCCCGCACGGACCCCGGGGAGCAGCACCTGCTTAGCTCGGAGCCCCGGTTTACACGGAGGCAGCAGCTTTGTTCTCCCGCCCCCACGTAGACTCGCACGGAGCATGCGCAATTTCAGCTCACCTGGGCTGGAGAGGGCGGAAGCACGCCCCGAAGCAGGCTGAGAGATGTAGTTCCTGACTCTGCAGGGAGCGGAAGTGACGTTCGGCTTGGGGTGGGAGAACGAGCTGGGCTGCGAACAACGCACGGGACCCTGCGGTTCTGCCCGGCTCGTGCGGGGCCCTGGGAGCCTCCCCCGGAGCTGGAGAAGAGTTTTGTGTCTCTCGGCTCTGGGCATGCGCAGAGGCAGCGCTCACCCGCTGCTGCTCCCTGGCGCTACGGGGCCGGGCGGAGCAGGAGGGTCTGTGCCGGGGAGACCCATTAACCCCCCGTGCCCGGCCCGCGCCCTGCTCCCGCTGGGGCCGCCCCGGGCTCTGCCCGCCCCGCTGCGGAGCTGCAGCCTCCAGGTACCGGAGCGAGCCCCGGGGGCGGGGCCGGGCGGTGACTCTGCCCCAGTGTCCGTGGGGGGGACCCGGCATCTCGCAGCGCCGGGATCTGCTCCCTGGGGGCAGCGCCTGCGGGGGGCTCGGAGCTGCTGTCCCCGCAGAAGTCCAACGCCCCCGGGCCACCGGCCCCGCCTCCGGTGCTCGCTCCGGTACCTGGAAGCTGGGTGGGCAGAGCAGGGCGGCTCCAGTGGGAGCAGGGCCCAGGAGGGCACGGGGGGGTGGGTTAATGAAGGTCTCCCTGGCACAGACCCTTCTACTCTGCTCTGCCTGGGCTCCCCGATCATAATGGAGAAGCGGCAGCGCAATGCTCACCCAGCAGCTGATACATAGGCAGCGAGTTCCATGTCCACGGCCAGGGCCGGCTTTAGGCCAATTCCACCAATTCCCCCGAATCAGGCCCCGCGCCTAAGAGGGCCCCGCGCCCAGTGGCAGGGCCGCTGGGGTGGGGGCAAGTGGCCGAAAATCCCTTCCCTGGCTAGAGGCTCCTTTTTAATTTTTACTCACCCGGCAGTGCTCCAGGTCTTCGGCAGCACTTCAGCGGCGGGTCCTTCACTCGCTCTGGGTCTTCGGCAGCACTTCGGCAGCAGGTCCTTCAGTGCCACCAAAGACCTGGAGCGAGTGAAGGACAAACGGCCGAAGACTACGAGTGCTGCCCGGTGAGTACAAGCCCTGCATGTTTTTTAGTGTTTTTTTTTTTTCAGTCATTCCTTCCGGGGCCCCGTCAAAACTGTTCGAATCGGGCCCCGCACTTCCTAAAGCCGGCTCTGTCCACGGCACCGGCAATATTCAGAGCCAGGGGGCAGCTCCAGCAATACTTGGGGCCAGGTATCCCCCCCCCCTTCCCGGTGCTCCCTGCAGCCCCCCCATGCCTTCCCGGAGTGTCCTCTCTCGCCTCCTGGCACCAACTGCTTCTGCAGGGTCCAAATGCCCCCCATATCCACTGCCAGGGCAGACTGACTCTGAGCCTGCCCTTCCCCCTCAGACCCTTCTCTTTTCCAATGGGACCCTGCAGCAGCACAGCCTCCCTCCCCCGCAGTCACTGCTCCTGCCCCATGCTGGGCAAGGAGGCAGCCCCATCTCTCACCCCCAGTGAGGCTACAATCAGGGGAAACAGCAGGGGAGGAGGCGCATGCAGCACCCCCCAGCACCCACCACGGTTGAGGCGAGGGAGATTCCTGGACCTGAGGGATCTAAGAGCACATGCAGTGACAGTTGTGGGGGTGAATGTCCTGCTGGGGGGGTGGGAAAGGGGGGCTCCTCCCCCAGAGCTTGCTGCTGCTGGCAGGGAGAGGGCTGGGGGGAGTCCTTCTCTCTGGCCCCTGTCCCGGAGCAGCCTGCCTGCACCCCAAACTCATCCCCAGCCCTGCTCCACCCCAGAGCCCATACCCCCACTCAGAGCTTTCACCACCCCACCCTCAACCCTCTGCCCGAGCCCCTCCAGCACCCCAAACCTCTTATCCCCAGTCCCAGCCAGAGCCCTCATCCCCCTGCACCCTGACCTTCTGCCCCAGCCTTGGTTCCCTCCCACACCCCAAACCTCCCATTCCTAGCCCCAGCCAGAGCCTTACCCCCCACATGCTTACTCTCATCCTGAGCCCCTCCCACACTCCAAACCCCTCATCTACAGCCACACCCCACAGTCCTCACCCCTGCACCCCATCCCTCTGTACCCCTCCCATCCCCAAACTCCCTCCCAGAGCCTTGGGCTGGTGGGGGGCAGAATTTGGGTGGGGGCAGGTTCTGGGCACCACCAAAATTTCTACAAACATGCCACCCTGATTTTGCACAAGTGGCCCCTCCTCAGCCCATCTCTGCTCCCCTACATCTGTGGCTCCCAATGCTCCTGGCCTAACTGACACCCCCCGGCTCTGGCTCCCCTCAGGAGGGGCCGATGCAGTTCCAGGAGAGCACGTGACCCCAGGGATCAAGCCAGAGGCGTTAGGGGGTAGACCAGGAGTTCTCAGGCTGGATGTTACTGCCCCCAGTTATGTGGGGGGTCACAAGCCCAGCCAGCTCTGCAGGCAGCAGCAGCAGCACAGAAGTGAGGGTGGCAATGGAGCACAAAGTCTGCTGTGAAATGTGATATTGACAAATGTCTTCGCACCCCAAGTATTAAATAGTAACTATTAAAAAAACCCTTTTCTGATTATAACAATAATTATATTAAAGTGTGTTTTAGGCTTAATTTAAAAGTGGTGAGAAAAGGTAAATTCATTTTAAAGAATTTCTCCTGGAGCTGCACCTCTCTGAGCCTTAGCACACCTTTTTCTTGTTCTGGGCCCCCTCAGGGAGTTCACTTGCTCTGGAACCCCAGGGCCTCCACTCCCAAAGGGAATGATGCAACCCTGTTCTCCAGACTGCTCTGACACTCAGCCAGCATAAAACCGAAGGGTTTATTGAGCATTTGAACATAGCATAGGAAACTCTCCGGGCCCTCAGGCCTGGCCTCCCTTAGCACAGCATATCCAAGTCTCCCCTGTATCCAGGTGGGCTCTGCCTGCCCCCCCTCTCCAGGCCAGAGCCCCCCTGATTTCCAGCTGGACATCTGATATCACCAGCCCCAAGCCCTGCCTCTGTCCATTGTCTTCTCTCCAGGTAAACAGGGTCGCCCGGGCCTCCTCTCTTCTGTCCTCTGGCCCCCTCTGGCTAGAACCAGCTGGTTAG